GTTTGGTTTAACTTCTTTATGCTCCAATTACCTTTTGTGAGGTCTACATTGTGGGCAAAAATGTTTTCAGGAAGTAGCACTAAATTTTGCTAGGTTATCCCCCCCCCCCCCTCTTGAGTATGTATAAATTGCCTGTGACAATTTAGCGTCCACATTACCATGTGTTCTAGTAGAAAAAATATTCTGTAATTTTTACTTATTTAGGCTTATCACTACTTTACCTCCTGGGAATCCATTTTCTCATTATGTTATTAGGTAAAAGTTTAGTGATTCCATTCATTTTAGTCACGACTATACAAAAGAATTTCTTGATAGACTGCCTCTTCCAACACACTGACACATTCAATTATCTTTTCTCCATACTTCAATCAAATGTGTCTTTCTTTTACTAAAGCAAATGCATGCCCTTAGTTAAAAAGCTATTTCTGTCTTCATATGTATAATATTACTTCCAATCAGTTGAATGCTAAACTAACCGCTCATACTTCTTTGCTCTTTAAATATAAACATACTAGCGGATGAATAAAGTTGTGGCATATGTATGCATATATATTCCATTAAATGTAAAATATCAGTTATGAGTAGCATAACAAAGTGTAAATCAAAGCAAAGTGATGATCAACATCATATAACAATTAGTTTCATTAGTTTTGTTCCATTAGTTTTGTTTACCTTTTATTTTTATAGATAAGCTGTTTCTTTCATCATGTATAAATTAAACAGTTGTACACAAAATGGCTGTTGATAAAATAGCTGAGAGATTTCATTCTGATCTTCCTTAGTCCCTTTGTCCCTTATTCAGATAATTTTATAATTTTATTTAATTTCTATAATTTATGAGATATACTTTGAAGTGATAAAAGGACTTTGTAACCATTTTAGATTTGTTTAGTTTATTTCTACAGTTTTATGCCCATTCAAGTGTGCAAATATAAAATTCAGCAGAAAAGCAAAAAAATAAAATAAAAAAAATCAACAAGTTATAGAACATTTGGTTTCAGCAATAAGTATGTAGATTCATTTGTAATATGGCATTTCATCAATAAATATAAATGCATATCAGAAAAACACTTCATAAAAAAGAACATTTTAATCAAAATATGATTGATGTGTGGTTTATTTGATCAAAGAACATTGTACACTAGTCTTAGGAAGTGGGTGATAGTTATGAGTTAATGAAAAGTTCTGGTAAAGAATTCCTGCATAAGAAGCTATGAGAATGGAATAAAATCCACTTTCTTGTAAGCTTTCAGAGCAGAGATATATACAATGGTATCATGTAACATTATGTCATGGCATCTCCATTGTTAAAGTAAGTGTGTGTGTCTGTGTGTGTAAAATTTTTCATTGGTATATGTGAGATTCCCCCCCCCCCACAGTTAATGCATCGCCAGGAAGCACCACATTATTGATTTTATCCTTATTAGATTCATCAGACATGGATAGCCAGATATTATTCTATATGGTTCAAATTTTCTACTGGGAATTCAACTCACATGTTTCTATATATTATCCAGCTATTGGCAATTAGTAGTTTTCAGGAAGGGAAATATAGAAACTGTTAGAGCAGTATATACATTCTATCTTCCCTTAAACCCTCAAACCAAGAGGTAGAGAGACATGAATGACTATATGACATCTGAAAACACAATACCTAAACATCGAATATATCTTACATAATATAGAATCTCAAAATTAGTTCAAAATTTTGGAGCTCACTTTTAATAATCTGAAATCCATATATCCAGGAATACTTGAGGTATAGTTTGAAATTCTTTAAGATATCTATATGAAATCAAATGTCTCTACTCAAGCTGGAGCGTCGCGGAGCGTCACAGGTGGTAACCACGCATGCGTGCACTGTGCACATGCATGTGGTGGATGCCTGGCCCGTTGCACTGTACCGATTGCAACGGGATCCAGAACCCACCACTGGTTGCTATAATCTGTATTTTGTTACTTTTGCAAAGGTTATTTTTTAAAAAAATAATAATAGTGTATACTGAATAAATTAATCTCAAATTTTTAATTTGATTAATCCAATTCTAGATTGTGGTATAACATATATACATTGTATAATTGTTTTCTGAAGAATTGTGTTCTATCTAGCAGGAAACAATGGCCAGGTGATTTTAGATCAACAGATACTAAAGAATAATAATTAAACTGCAAAAATATTAAACTCCTCACGAAAGATGAAAGTGGTTTAGTAAAGTTACCACTTGCTTGAGAATGTTTTAACTTTTTTTTTCAGTAAATCATTTTCACACTAGGAACTTATGCATAGATTTGATTTGTAAGTTTTATGCTAAAAATTATGTAGTATGTCTTATGCAGTTTAACATGATACAACTGTATGCTAAATCAATATTTGTCAGAAGCATAAAGTGACTTCTGAAATAAAATGCAAGATGCTGTCAGTCAAACTTGTTCCAGCATATTTTACAATAAAATTGTTTTTCTGACTTTAGACCTATTGGACAAGCAGCAAGTCAAAATTGTCTTTCCAGGCATAATAAACAAGAATTTCCTTGTTATTTTCTCTTCCTTTAGCTTCACTTTACAAACTAATTTTAAAAATATCAGGGACATTTTGGGGTACAAAAGAGTTGAGATTTACTTGATGACACTTAAAAAAAAAGAATCAAATGTTTGTGTTATTTATCTGCCTTTCTGAAAGTAAAACTAAAAATCAAAAGAGCTAATTTTGAATTAGATAAGACTGGCATTATTTTCTAAAGTTATTGTGAAAGCCACAATAACCTTAGAATAATAATAATCGGATTAATCAAATTATAATTTTTGAGATTAATTTATTCAGTATACACTGTTAAAGATTTTTTCATTTAAAATTTTTATAAATAGATAATTATGTTATATCATTTTGCCTATTATGTCTCCCAACATATCGATATTACAAGTGATATTTGAATATTTCATTCTGTAATTGTTTAGACAATATGTTTTAATGTTTTCTGTAACTGTTTAAAATATATTTTAATGTTTTATTTGAGAAGCAGGGGGCATATTATTTTACCAAATGTTGGAAATTGAACATTACATACATTATGATCAAAAGTGCAATTCACTCGTGAGTAAACTTGCTGGGAATAATGGATATTTTTGATTATGATTAAAGTTTAAGAATGCTTGAGAAATGCTTAATTATATTCCTTTAATTAAATAATCATTTTTCACATGTCTAAGCTTTCCAAATTTAAAAATGGAAATTTGCATTATAAATATATTTTAGAATTAATTGGCATGGTTTAGAATTATCAAAGTAACCACAAGTAAAGAGCAAGTGTTTTGTGTTTCTTTTTCTTGCCTAATAAAACCAAATTTCAAGGTTAACAATTTCTTGGAACCCAGAAAATGGCAGGGTCCTAAAAAATGGTGCTCTGAAGGTAGGTATTTTTTTCCCTCCATGCCAACAAGCAGCTGTTTTTGTTATCAAAGCTGGTTCTTTGGCAGCATGCTCCCCAGATTTGAACTGCAGTAACTAGGATGACCTACGATAACTTTGGAGAACAACAGATTTGACTGGGGGGAGAAATCTGAATGGTTCCAAATTCTTGGTAAGAGTGGCTGGAGTGGTTGGGTCTCCATCTTTTTTTGCAGCTGCTTGTATTTTTAGGTGTGCATTCTGTTTTTAACCTCACTTTTAAAAGTCTAATTTTTAATAGCCTGGCTGAACGCGGACTTGTTTTATGCCTCTTTGCTTGCTTATGATCGTAAACTTTTATTGTTTTGTTTTAGTGTTTTAAAAAACTTTCTCTTTCATCACAAGGAAGCTGTTCTGACCTAGGCTTCCCAAGAGCATGAAGCAAACTTCTTGTCTCAACAAAAACCCCTTTTATTAATTTACCTGAATTCTGCTCATTCACATCCAACAAAGTCTTGCAAGAGAGGATTTACAGTCACAGACCTTATCTGGCTTGGAGAGCTGCCAGGCCGATATCTGCAAAACTTGGCAAGGAGTCTCGGAGAGTCACAAACCAATTAAGTGAACTAATTGTCTCCTGGAAATGCCAGTCCCCCTTTCCCTCCTCTTTTATTTTCTCTGGGATGGGCCATTGATCGTCCACCTGTGGCCTTACTCCTGTTCTTACTGTTCTTTAGTTGTTCCCTTCATCAGCCAACTCTGTGCATACTGGGAACACATACTGAGAACAGGCTCCAGCTGTTTGTCTGTCCCACTGATGTCTGACTCTGAAGGCAGCTGATAACTGGAATATGGCTCTGGCCCCTTCTCTGCTTCTGACACAGAGCCCTCATTAGAGCCTTCCCCAAATTCCAGGCCTGGCTCATGTTCCTCCCCAAACTCCTCACTGTCCAAATCTGCTGCCAGTTCCACTGGTGGGCCACAACAGAAGCCGGAAGTGTGAGGCTTCTTCGTCTTTTTTTTAATGTTATGAAAGTGACCCAATCTAATCTATGGTAGATTACTTTTAAGATTTTGCATTTTATCAGTTTTTCTAAAATAACTTTGGTGCTGGTTTTGTCTATTTTTTATTTTCCATCCATTCTGTTGTGAGTTTTTTTTTAGCTTACCTTCATTGCATCTCCTTTATTGTGGTGTATTCATATTCTTTGTAATCGAAAGGAAGTGTTTACCCTTTTCTATGGAAACTAAATAAATAAACAATAAATTCAGAACTTTGAATATTATATACTATATATATTTTATAAATCCCTCAAAAAAGAGATATAAAAGAGAGATGGGAGTCAGATGGTTTTTAATATTATAGTCTCCCTTGAAACTTGTGAAAACATTTTTTTTGCCAATTTACAAGTTTTAAATGAAAAAAATGAGTAAAATGTTGATGGATTTGTAACAATTGCATTGTTACACAATGTCATTGTCCTTCTGAAATTATAAGGTTTTTCCTTGATGATAACCTTTCAAGAAATCACCATTTTGTGTTTTGACTTATTATTAGTGACTACATACAGTTTTTTTTTTTGTTTAGCTAATTTACTTTTATGCTTCTTTTCAGTGGGAAGAAATAAGTGGTGTTGATGAGAACTATACTCCAATCAGAACTTACCAGGTCTGCAACGTCATGGACCACAGTCAAAATAATTGGTTAAGGACAAATTGGATACCACGCAATTCAGCTCAGAAAATCTATGTGGAACTCAAATTTACTCTGAGGGATTGTAACAGTATCCCGTTGGTTCTGGGCACTTGTAAGGAAACTTTTAATTTGTATTATATGGAATCTGATGATGACCATTCTGTCAAGTTCAGAGAACACCAGTTTACAAAGATTGATACCATTGCTGCTGATGAGAGCTTCACTCAGATGGATCTTGGTGATCGTATTCTTAAGCTCAATACAGAAGTTCGTGAAGTGGGACCTGTGAGCAGGAAAGGATTTTATTTGGCTTTTCAAGATGTGGGTGCATGTGTGGCCTTAGTATCTGTGCGAGTGTACTTCAAAAAATGCCCTTTTACTATAAAGAACCTGGCCATGTTTCCAGATACAGTACCTATGGATTCCCAGTCACTGGTGGAAGTGCGAGGCTCTTGTGTTAATCATTCCAAAGAGGAAGAACCACCCAAGATGTACTGCAGCACTGAAGGAGAATGGCTAGTACCCATAGGGAAGTGCTTATGTAATGCCGGCTATGAAGAAAGAGGCTACGCCTGCCAAGGTAATGGTAACATGACAACTTAATTTTTTTTCCAACAGGAACACTACCATTTCAGGCAGTATACAAGCAATGGTCCACAAATAGGCTGGGCCCTCATGAGCAAGATCTTGGTCTGTAGTACACCCAGTGGTGGGATTCAAATAATTTAAAAACCGGTTCTCTGCCCTAATAACCAGCTGGATAGGCATGGCTCGGTGGTCATGTGACTGTGTGGCTGTGGCCAACTCAACATCACTCAGGTCAATGGGTGCTTCGCCTTAGCTGTTACAATGTAATAAGGGTTAACCAGAGGTGCAGTTTCTGTAAGCAGGGCAATAAAGATTAGGCTAGAAACAACACCAGAATGTTTCCTTCCTGCCTTCCTTACAGGATTAGCCCTGTAAAGTGGAAAAAACAAAATAAGATTTCTTCCAACAACCAGTTCTCCAAACTGCTTAGAAAGTTAATAACTGGTTCTCCTGAATAGGTGCGAACTGGCTGAATCCCACCACTGAGTATACCCAAACTATTATATACCTTTAAAAAGAGTGCTATATATTCGCTATGCTTGAGATGTTGTATAATGGGCTTTAGAAGTATTAGAAAACCTTGAATGAAGAGGAGATAGATTGGGTGCCATTGCAAAAGCAGTTTGAAGCAGTCTATGCTTTGGGGCCTTTAATTTGAACCCTGAACTGATTCTAAGGCACTAAAATTTTCTGTGATTGTTACTTGAGCTCCTTGGTTTTAAAAGCAGATGACAAGCATATTGGGAATTGTTACACAAATTAGTTTAGCTATTTGCTGTAGTATTTAAGGCACAAGCCTATAAACCAGTAGTCCAGGGGTTCTAGTCTCACCTAATGCACAAAGCCACTTGGTAACCTTTGGTCAGTTTCTCTTTCTCAACAGTAGGAGTGAGACAACAGTAAATCACTTTTGAAAAAAGTGTGCCAAGAAAACTGCATGGGCTTATCCTGTTAGTTGCTATGAATCAAAAACTTATTCAAAGACATGTATTAATAAACAAACAAATATATAATTAATATCCTATCTCAGAATAGAATTCCTACCTCTGTTTCTGGACTACATTTTCCCCATATTTTTATTTAAGTACTTTTCTTCTAGACTTACATTCCAGGTGATTTTTTTTCTTTTTTCTTTTCTTTTTTAAAAGTCTTCATCTATTTTCTATCCAAGGCATTAAATCTAACTGCATCAGTCATTTCCACTTTTCTTAATGATGGTTATGTCCAAAAAATATTTTCTGGGGCTCTAATTCCCTGGGGTGCAGAGGATTTTCTGCTAATGTACCAGATTATAGATACTGAACAATGCAGTTTATTTAATATTGTGATTATGATTTTTTTCAGTTTGTTTTGTATTTTCAAAAATATAGACAAATGAGCATATTATTTTGTTAATTCTTGGTGAAACATAGTACAAATTTTAGATAGACCCATTTAAAGCTTAAAATTAATGTAAAAAGAAATAATTTATGTTTGATATATACGCAGTATATTTATTTATATATAAACTTATAGCATAGATTTTATAGTCAAAATCGTGCATGCGCACTGAACCGCCAGTAATGCTGGAAGAAACTCACCCCTGGTTCTGATGATCAATGAAAATGCAGTAAAGTTATTTCATTTTGAACTGAAGGTGGCTTTTTTATTAACTGGAAGAGGTTGTGTTGCTCATGTTCCCATGCATTGGTGGCTTTTAAAGTGCTTTCCATAATTCTAATACTTACTATATCTATGTTTTAATATGAACTCAGGGCTAAGAATATAGCTGATTTTTTTTTCCAGTTGTGGAGTCCTCCTTCAGTTATGATTGCAACAAATTGGTAATACTGCTTAATAAAGGTTTTGAGATTTTAGAATAATTCAGAGTAGTTTCAAAAATAAAGAATAACAATGATGGTGGTAGTGGTTGTGGTGATGATAATGATGATAGTTATCAGTGGTGGGTTTCAAATTTTTTTAGAACCTCTTCTGTAGGTGTGGCCTATTTGTGGGAGTGGCTTGCTGGACATGTGACTGGGTGGGAGTGGCTTGCCAGCCTTGTAACTGAGTGGGCATGGCCAACTTCTAAAATGTGATGAAACTCATTTAACAACGCTCTTGCTTAGAAACCAAAATGTTGGCTCAGAAACTCTGGCATTTGAAGCACGCAAGTCTTAAAGCTGTCAAGTTACAATACCCTTGCACCCCTAACCCTTTAGAAAAAAACCCCAGGGTTTTTCAAACTTGACAGCTTTAAGACTTGTGGACTTCAACTCCCAGAATTCCTCCTCCAGTCATGTTGGCTCAGGAACTCTGGCATTGAAGTGTGCAAGTCCTAAAGCTATCAAGTTACAAGACCCTTGCACTTCTAACCCTTTAGAAAAAAAACCAGGAGTGTTCAAACTTGACAGCTTTAAGAATTGTGGACTTCAACTCCCAGAATTCCCCCTCTCGCTCTTCATCTTGATGATGTGGGGACAGGCGGGGGGAGGGAGCTGGAACCGGTTCTAAACAGCACTGTAGATTTGTGGAACCTCTTCTATGACGAGGTTAGAACTGGCAGGAACCCACCCCTGATAGTTATAATACTCAATGTTCTTTTCAATGTTAGTTCATGGTCTTGTGCATTTTGCATTATTACCCTGCCTTTTCCATATTCCATGTTTGTTGTGCTTCCCAATACAAATATTGTCTATTCTGTTATAAATCGAACACTTTAGGGTGTCATTAATGGAATGAACTTTAATGAATCTATCTGATAATTCATTTATCAGATTTTTTGATAAAAGCATTTATAGTCAGTACACCCATAAATATCCCAGATATCAGATGTTTTGCAAAGCTATTAATATGAACACGATATTACTATCAATTATTGCCAAGTAGTTTTTAAAACATTTCTTCAATACTCTCTCTTTTTCTTTCTTTGAGGTAGTTCTAGGTATTACAAATTTAAAAAGAAAAGACTGAAAGCCCCATTAGGATTATGAGGTTATGAGCCATGGAAGTAAGATGGTGAAACCGTGATGCTTTGTTTGGTTAGAAACAAGTCAACATGTATATTAACAGAATTAGGATGGGAGTAAGGGTGGTGTCAAATTAGTTTTTCAGACTTGACATAAGGAATAATCACAATCTTTCATTTGAAAATTAAATATAAATTTATGGAGTCATTGGTGTTCCCTGAGTTTGACTGCTTGCAGATGTTCATTACCCAACAAAGTATCAACATTATTGCTGGTGGCTGTGACTATGAGGTTTGCTTTATATTTATATATAGTAGCTTGCATTGCCAGTTTTGGTAGGGGTGTACTTGGAACTTCCTTGATTATGGCATTGTTTTCTTTTTGATTGTTAATTCTGACTTAGCTGAGTTGGCTACAGAAAAGAGCAATATAAATCTGTCCGCAGGGTTTGCTTTGTATTTCGGAATTCAATTTGTAAATGTTTTAAACTAACATGGAATTCTATTCTCCTGTTTATTTATTGTATATTCTTTCACATATATTTTCAAAAGCTTTTCTTTTCTTATTTTTATATATGGTACAGATCAAAAGGATACATTTATAATGACAGTTTTCAAAATATATTTCTTGGGGAGATGTCAATTTTTTTAAAATTTTTCATAAAAGTAAATATAATTGATCCTAGTGATAGAAAATGTTTTTTTCTTATAACAGATCTCATCAACATTAACATTCTAACTTAATTTCAATAAACTTTAGATTGATTTAAATTATAAAGTTTTAAAACTTGGCAACATTAGTAATCAAAGAGACCAAAAGTCAGCTGTACTTGAGATTAGGTTGGATGGGATAAATCAGTCGGGTGGGACTAATGTATTTCTTTGAGATCCCATTGCCATCAACATATTGGAAATTAAATAGAGCAAGATTCAATTAAGATGCACTTCTGCGTGGACTAAATTTGAGTGTAGTCAGATTTAGTCCTTCAGTGTCTATCATTTCAGTAGTTCTTTTCCAAGTCCTGTGCCTATTTGTTTTGGCTAGCAAAGAAAATTGTCAACACATTTTTGTGGTTGATCGAATAATATCTTTTAGTTCAAGAAAGAGTTTCTTGACTGATTGCCTTTGGTTTATTTTATTTTTTCCTAATAAGTGGCTTTGAGTTAGCCTTCCATGTAGAACTTACCTGGAAATGATTTCTGGGTATTCAGTACAGATACAAAATGTTCCTGTGTCCCACGTCCATCAAAACTGAATCAGAATTAGAAATGAGGATGGAAATGTATTAAGTATGGACAAAGTAGAATTGCTGTATTCAAAAACAAACTGAAACTATAGCCATCACTACATTGTAATGAGATATACCACAGATTTGTACAATAATCATTTCTAAAAGGTCAGTGCGATTGTTTGGCTTGCTGTCTTAATACCAGACATGTCTATCCTCCAAATTCTATCGTAATTAGGGATTACTGTGTAGTGTGTCAGTTTTTCATCACCCAGGAAGCATACCATCAGTGATTTAAGACATCACTGCAAGAAAGTCAACATTACCTCCTGATAGTAAGAGATTTAATAAAAATAGATGGAAATAAAATAATTTATATTTGACAAGATATTGCATGCTGTGAGATGATGATACATGGTGATGATATATGGTACAATCCAAATTAAAATTATGCTAAAATTCCTTAAAGGCATTTCCTTTCATAAGAAATGCATTACAATTTTCATTGTTTCGTATGCTCTGCTCTCTTTACTTTTTATACTACATTGTTTTGAACTAATTACATTTGCTGTTAATGAAAATGTATTGGCTTACAAAAAGTTTCTAGATTTCCCTAGTTAGTTTTCTGAATATATAAAAAGTCTGCATAGTATATTTGCAATATAACAGGGTAAATCACTTTGAATATTTTCCCCAGTATGGTACTCTCAGATTTCTTCATCATTGTCCAACTTGTATATTTCAAATTCTTCTAACATTTCTTAACTTGATTGTTCTTATTTTTACTGATTTGCTCCTTATAAAAAGGAGTGAACT